TTTTTTCCCATTCTGTGGGCTGCCTTTTTGTCTTGCTGACTGTGTCCTTTGCCTTACAGAAGCTTCTCAGTTTCAGTAGGTCCCATTTATTAATTGTTGATCTCACTGTCTGTGCTACTGGTGTTATGTTCAGGAAGCTGTCTCCTGTACCAATTCGTTCAAGGGTACCACCCACTTTCTCTTCTAAGAGGTTCAGTGTGGCTTCCAAGCCACACAAAGATGCAACTAAGAAAGAGAACTTCAGACCAATATCCCTCATGAACATTGATGCAAAAATACTCAATAAAATACTGGCAAATCGGATCCAAGAACACATCAAAACAATCATTCACCACAATCAAGTAGGTTTCATCCCAGGGATGCAGGGATGGTTCAACATACGAAAATCCATCAACGTAATCCACCATATAAACAAGCTGAAAAACAAAAATCACATGATCATCTCACTAGATGCTGAAAAAGCCTTTGACAAAATCCAACACCCCTTCATGATAAAGGTCTTGGAGAGATCTGGGATAACAGGGACATACTTAAACATAATAAAAGCTATATACAGTAAACCAACAGCCAACATCAAACTAAATGGACAGAAACTCAACGCAATTCCTTTAAAATCAGGAACAAAACAAGGCTGTCCACTCTCTCCATACCTTTTCAACATGGTACTTGAAGTTCTAGCTATTGCCATACTACAACAAAGGGGGATCAAGGGGATACAAATTGGGAAGGAAGAGGTCAAACTTTCACTGTTTGCAGACGATATGATAGTTTACATCAATGACCTAAAGAACTCTACCAGGGAACTCTTACAGCTGATTAACACCTTCAGCAAAGTGGCAGGCTACAAGATCAACTCAAGAAAATCAGTAGAGTTTTATACCCACATCAAAGGGAAGAATAACACCACTAGATAATTTTACAACATAGCTCTGTGACAGTGTGTACTGTCTGAAGAAAAAAAATGCAAGTTTTACTCATGTCTGTCACTTTTTATAATAATATTATTGTAGCCACTTCTAAATTTCCTTTTTGTGAATTTTTTGGCTTGAGAAAACTAGCACATCATTTGATTTTTTGTGGGCTATGGTTCTCACTCTGAAAGTAGAAAGATACATATATTAAGTAAGAAAAGCCAGAAGTATCACTGAGGACTGAGACTAAAGGTGTATAATCCACTGAAACAGATTATTGCAAAAATACTGTGTTGATCAAGTCTACCTCCCCAGAGTCCATTAACTCTGAACCATCATAACAACAGAAAACATCAGGACCTTGGTTTCTTAAAAATATCCCTTCATGTGAAAATACACAAACATACACACACACACACACACACACACACACACACACACACACACACACCAAGAGTAACCAAGAAAAAACTGATTTTAGGAGTATGACAAAATGGAAGGAAACCCTGGAACATTTTTTTGTACTTCTGAAACAGACATTTTTTTTATTTAAATTAGAAACAAACTTGCTTCACAGGTCAATTCTAGCTCCCTCTCCCTCCCCTCCTCCCCTGCCCCCTCTAACTTCCCAACTCCCCACCCCATCACCCCTCCACTCCCCAGGGAGGGCGAGGCCCTCCATGGGGGATCTCCAAAGTCTGTCATCTCATCCCAGGCAGGGCCTAGACCCTCACTCATGTGTCCAGGCTGAGAGAGCATCCTTCCATGTGGAATGAACTCCCAAAGTCCATTCGTACACCAGGGATAAATACTGATCTACTACCTGAGGTCCCACAGATTGCCAAGGCCTCCTCACTGACACACAGGGGTGTCTCGATCAGTCCCATGCTGGCCTCTTAGTCACCAGTCTGGGGTCCATGAGCTTCCCCTTGTTCAGGTCAGCTGTTTCAGTGAGTTTCTCCAGACTGGTATTGACCCCTTTGCTCATCACTCCTCCCTCTCTGCAACTGGGTTCCAGGAGTTCAGTTCAGTGTTTAGCTGTGGATGTCTGTCTCTGCTTCCATCAGACACTGGGTGAAGGCTCTAGGATGGCATATAAGGTAGTCATCAATCTCATTATCAGGGGAGAGCATTTAAGGTAGCCTCTCCAATATTTGTTAGATTACCAGTTGGTGTCATCATTGTAGATCTCTGAAAATCTCACTAGTGCCAGATCTTTCCTCAAACCTATTATGATATCTCTCATCCTGCCCTCCTCTATTCTTCCCCTGATTCAACCTTCCTGCCCCCCATGTCCTCCTCTCCCCTCCACTTCTCCCCCTCTCTTTCTCCCAGATCCCTCTTCCCTCCCCCCATACCCCTAATCCACTCAGGAGATCCTGTCCCATTCCCCTTCTCTGGGGTACCACACAAATCTCTCTTAGGGTCCTCTCTGTTTCCCAGACTCTCTGGCAGTGGGATTGTAGGCTGGCAATCCCCTGTTCCATGTCTAAAATCCACATATGAATGGGTATATACCATATTTGGGGGGGGTTGTGTGTGTAACTGGGTTACCTGACTCAGGATGGTTTCTTCTAGTGCAGTCCATTTGCTTGCAAATTTCAAGATTCCATTGTTTTTTCCCACTAGTAGTAGTCCATTGTGTAAATGTACCACATTTTCTCTATCCACTCTTAAGCTGAGGGGCATCTAGGTTGATTCCATGTCCTGGTTATTAAAAATAATGCTGCTATGAACATAGTTGAATAGATGTCATTGTTGTATGCATGCACATCTTTTGGGTATAAGCCTAAGAGTGGAATTGCTGGACATTGTGGTAGACTGATTTCCATTTTCCTGAGGAATCTCCATACTGATTTCCAAACTGGCTGTACAAGTTGGCACTCCCACCAGCAGTGGAGGGGTGTTCCCCTTTCTGCACATCCTCTCCATCATAAACTGTCACAAAAATAGACAGGTAGATCAATGGAATCTAATTGAAGACCCTGATATTAACCCACACACCTATAAGCACCTGATCTTTGACAAAGAAGCTAAAACTATACAATGGAAAAAAGAAGGCATCTTCAACAAATGGTGATGGCATAACTGGATGCTGGCATGTAGAAGACTGCAGATAGATCCATGTCTATCACCATGCACAAAATTTAAGTCCAAATGGATCAAAGACCTCAACATAAATCCAGCCATACTGAACCTCTTAGAAGAGAAAGTGGGAAGTACCCTTGAAAAAATTGGTACAGGGGATGGCTTCCTGAACATAACACCAGTAGCATAGATACTGAGATTGACAATTAATAAATGGGACCTCCTGAAACTGAGAAGCTTCTGTAAGACAAAGGACACAGTCAACAAGACAAAAAGGCAGCCCACAGGATAGGAAAAGATATTCACTAACCCCATATCTGACTGAGGGCTGATCTCCAAAATTTACAAAGAACTCAAGAAGCAAGTCTCCAAAACACCAAATAATCCAAGTAAAAAGTGGGGTACAGAACTAATAGAGAATTATCAATAGAGGAGTCTAAAATGGCTGAGAGACACTTGAGAAAGTCAACATCCTTAGTGATCAGGAAACTGCAAATCAAAACAACTCTGAGATACCACTTACTCCTGTCAGAATGGCTAAAATCAAAAACCCTGGAACATCTTAAGCTACCAAAAAGTGAGAAATAACTTGTCAAAGTGCCAGAAGACAAAGGAGAACGTGAGGGCATATTTCCAGTCAACTCTAAGACATCTTGAACAACAAGCAAGGATATCTGAGTTCGATTCCCAGCACCATTGTAAGAGCAGAGCACTGTGGGGCATGCTTGCAATCCTACAGTCTCAGTGCTCAGGAGAGAGACAGGAGGATCCCCAGATCTCACTGTTCAGACCATGCAGCTAAGTCGTTTTGCTCCAGGTTCAGGGAGAGACTCACTCAAAAAGATAAGATAGTCTGATGTTGACTTCTGACCTCACGGGCTGGTGCTCTCCCACATACACACTAACCCAGGGGATAAAAGGGAAAATTCACTGGCTACTAAATCTCTATGTTCCTTGTAAATTACTCACTAATTACAAAAGGAAAGACAGTGATAATAAGGCAGAAAAGCCACAAGTCAGAATTACCAACATCACTAAGGGCAAGGAGTCTTCCTGCATCCCAGAAGTGGTACCCTAAGAACACAACACCTCTCAGACTGTGATTCAGCTAAAGATGCACAGCCTCCATCCTGCTGCCTGAAAACACCAGGCCAATAAAACAGGAGAGCCGTTTAGCTTATCCTGTTGTCTGAGGTTGGGTCTGAGATCATCCAGCAATGGCTAGATTCTGTCGAGCTAATGCGTAGCCATCATAATGATCTTGAACTCCTGACCCTCCTGCCTCCACCTTCCGTGTCCTGAGATTCTGTGTCCTGTGCCATGTTACTCTGTGGAGTGCCACAGAGGGGCGTCATTTTGTAAAAGCTAAACATGAGCTGTGTATTAGAAAGAAGTCAGCAAAAATGTAAACTTTCCTGGATTTGCAGAAGTAAGCAGAGACAGATTCAAAGAAATCTATTCACTTCACATAAGGCTAAAAGTCATGGTATATGTGTGTATACATGCAGATACAGAGAGATCATAAATATGGCAAATATTCAAACACTTATTAATGTAGGGGGTAGGGTATAACTCAGTGACAGAAAGCTTGCTGGACAGATGCAAGGATGCCACTACCGGTACCCTTCTCCCCCCCCCCCAAAAAATCCAAACAACCAAAACTAAATAAAAGCAACCAAAAGAAAAAAATATTCGAATCCACAAAAAAAGAGGAAGGATGAAGGGTGAGTCTTTGTGCTATCCCTATGTCTCTATGAATATGAAAGTATTTCCAAATAGAACATTAAAAAGGTCAGACTTTCCTTGTGGGGAGTTGCCAGAAGGCAGTGCAAATACCGGGCCGTTTTTAATCCCACTGAGAGCCACCTTGAGCCTTCTTTCTCGCAGCTTGCATTATTTACCCTGTGCCAGGGACTGGTCCCAGATCTACTGACTGCTGCTTCATACCTGTTCCACCCAGTACAGTCAAAATGACACAGAACAATTCTTACCTCCTTTTAGAGGCCAAGATGTCCCCGCAACACACCCTCCTCGTTTATATAATGTACACAATGAACTAGATGACTCCGAGCTCTAACATAGGTGAGTGCCTCTTACTCTTATTGTTTTCTTTTCTTGGGGTTTGCTTTTTCTGGAACGCTCTATGTCTTGACTGGAACTGCATGAACACATTCTGGGTACTTCTACAGTGAAATCGAAGAGGCAAACACTGGCTTCTAACGTATAAAGATAGCTGGTATCTGTTCAAAGAGGTTTAGGCTGACAAAGTCCCCGTCCTATGGCTAAACTGTTGTTTCTCTGAGCATCCTATGCCTCTGCAGGTAGCAGTCTCCTGACTACAGGCCAGACTTGTTATTTTTAGGCATTGGGATTCTATGCTTCTGATTGCCCATGCTTGTTCCAGGTTTGGGGAACTGAACTTCTCAGGTCATGCTAAGAATCACACCTCTTTACCACTGCAGGTAGGGAGCTGGGACCCAGGAGCTCTGGAATATTTTCCAGGCTTGTAATGAAAATGACAAAATAAAACCAAAACAACCCTACCCAGAAAGAAATTGGCATATTCAATTTTATTTCTTTTATTCTAATTTTAAGAGTTGATTGCTGTTTTTGATGAAGAAAAAGGGCTTTAAGGAGAAACATGGCAGACAGTCTTCATGACTGGTGACAAAAGTCCCTAGGTTTCAGAGGCCAGCAATGACTCGTGCTAGAACCCTCCACCAGCTTCTTTCTGCTTTATGCAAGGAATAGAGGCCTCAAACCTTAAATATAAATTAGCTGGCCATATTGAGTCTGAGATGAGACATTCTTTTCCTAGGCTTGACAGTCAACCTGGGCTTGATTAGCACTCCACATACAAGTACAGGGGGGCGATAGAACCAGGTAAGTTTCTGGAGATGGGAAATGATTGTGGATGGAGACTCTCTGACCAGTTTGTGGAGATCAGCAGAGATCTGGGAAATGGTTGTGGATGGAGGACAGCTAGCCAGCTTGTGGGGACCAGCAGGGTAAAGTTAGGACTTACAGCATGATGCTATCATTCATTCATTTTACATTTTAAATGTTCATTGAGAACCTTCTACATCTCACATGTGGTTTCCGGGGTTAGGGACACAGTGGTCAAATAAGACCCCAAGCAATCTATGGGACAGGCTGTCAAATAGTCAGGTAACAATCATGCGGTGGGTGTCTCTTTGAAGTCCGGTGGAAATGCAGCAAAGAAAGAAATCACCTTTAGTGAAGCTGGGACTTGGTGAGGTGACAATCTTTGTTAGGGGGATAATGGTACCGGATCTAAAAAGACAAGTACACACTTATAGGAAGAAGGAGAAAGGACATTTCAAGTGGGCGTAAAGTTAGCATGAAACACAGTGCATATATTCAACTGGTCTGAATTATATAGGATTTGATGCAATGAGGTTACATTGTGATATAGGAAATGGGGATTGAATCATGATTTCAGATGTCCTCATGTACTGTGTTAAGGAGTCAGTCCTAATCGTCCTCAAAAGTGATGGGATACTTGGAAGGATATAAACTGGGAAGCTATGAAGTCAACTGTGCAGGGACCTTGAAGGAGTGGGTTATAGAGGCTGTAAAGAGAAGGTATGAGGTTCTAAATGAGTGCAGTTTACCTGGGAAGGGAAACATTGTTGTTTAAATATGTACAACTAGTGATGAATTAGACATTAAAGAAAGCACAGGGAGCCTAGCATGGCTTCATAGTTTTTTGTTGTTGTTGTTGTTGTTGTTATTTTTGTTTTTTGTTTTTGTTTTTTTTTGGTTTTTACGAGACAGGGTTTCTCTGTATTGTTTTGGAGGCTGTCGGTCCAGCCTGGCCTCGAACTCACAGAGATCCGCCTGCCTCTGCCTCCTAAGTGCTGGGATTAAAGGCGTGCGCCACCACCGCCTGGTGGCTTCATAGTTTATATTTCAGTTTCCACACGGGGGTTGAGGCACTCCATAGAGACAGAGAAGGTTGGATGGAACCAGCTTGGAAGACAGAATGGGAAACTTGTTAACACAATACAGGGAAAACCCAAAGACCTCAGCTATGGCATGGAGGCAGAAAACACCATACAGTATCCCTCTCCCTGTCATTCATGGGGTATGTGTTCCAAGAGGATGCTGAACCCTGTGTGTGCTTGTTTATTCCATCCATTCAGAGGTATGTTTGGCTTATAAATTAATAAAAGGCTAATTTTAAAACTACTAACATAAAAGTAATAAAATGGAACCATTATAACAATGTACTGTAACAAGAATTAGTTGATAGCAACATCTTTTTTAAATTGTATTATTGTACTTCCAACTTTTCAATTAAAAGAATCATTTTATAGATTCTCCCAAATTCCTAGTATCACTACACCTTTTGGGACCACCTACTAGGCAAAATAAGGGTTATTTGAACACAATCATATGCCATCCTGATTCAGTCTAGTAACTGAAAGGGCCACTAAGTTACATGGATACTCTGGACAAAGAGATGATTTCATGTTGAAGGAAAAATAATGCAACAATACACAATAGCATCGTGTTACTCAGCACATCCAACAAACGTTAAAGGTACTATTTCCTTTTAGAGTTTACCACATAAGGCTTTGGAACAGTACTTGGCTCTGTGTAACAGAAACTGCAGAGAGCAAAACTGTGGGTCAGGATCTGTGTGCACGTGCCTGTGGCCAGAGGTGAGTCAGCTATTGGTCCCAGCTCTTCCTTTCATTAGGACTTCATAGGGTCACTTCAGAGATCAGAGGAAAAATGACTGTAAAACAGATTGCTCCTCATCCCTGCAATTCTGAACCCGTGGTACCCAATCCAATGGTTCCAGAACACTGTAGCTGGTCCAAAGCATCTAGCCCACCCTAGATGGCCACAGGAGCAGCTTCCACAACATCCTTTCCCACCCTGGGATGGGAAGGGCTTTGGAAGAGTTCAGAAATCGGTTTCTACCCCAATGTGTTCGCCCCAGAATCTCTCTGTTGACCTTGCTTAGCGCCGATGCACTGAGATTTCACAGTCTGTAAGGAATGACCTCCACTTAGACAAACCAAAACAGGCATGCTCAAAAGCCAAGATGGTGTGAAAGCTGTTCATTTCGCATCGTAAGTGATTTCCCACACGTTGCCTATAAATTGCTTCTTGTGCCTTATTTTTGAAGGAGGCGGCCACTGTCTGCAGATCTGGCTTCCAGATTATTCACCATGTGGCGACACACCTCGGCCCTCACAAACGCCGATTTCCCTGCCCTGACGACGACCCTCGGGGAGGCATCCAAATGCAGGAACACGGTGCAGCGACTTTAGGCTCAAAGAACCGTTTGTATCTTGAAGATCCTTCTATGGTTGTAAAGCACCGCGCACATCTGTTTCGTGACCTCTCCCTGAGGCCCTTGTGCTGTGCACTGCCAACCATTTCCACATCTGCCCTTCCTGTACTGCAAGGTCCTTTACCATAATTTCTTCTTGTCCGAGCACTAGCTGATGTCATGACTTTTTACACACTGGATTTTCATCAAGTGGGACTCATTTAAACTGAGATGATTCTCCTCCAGTAAACTCCGGAACACCACAGAAAGGTACTTGGTCGCTTCTGTTGCCCAGTGGGCATGGAAGCCAGGACACACAAGAAAAAGCCCTCAGATACTGAGCTTCCTACAGCCTAGTGAGTGTTTACACTGAGTAGAGTTCAGAAAATTGCTTTGTGTAATTTGGTCTTCCAACTCCTTTATTTTATTTCTAAATTATATTCTTAGTATGAAAACAATACATGGCCATGATAACTGTGATCCCTCTGTAGGTTACTATCCAGAGGTCAGTACTGCCAAACCTTTTCTATACCCTTTCAGAAATGGATTTAAATAAGTATATATGCCATAAAAAGTAGATTTTATTGCACACATCCAGAGGCAGTATGCTTTCCCTCCTTGGACCACATGCCCTTATGCCTTTCGCCTTGCTAGAGATGGATACCGTAGGAGGTTGCTCCTCTGTTGTGAACATCTCAAGCCGTCACTTCAGTGGCGCACATGTGTAGACACCACTAGCGCTCTGGGTCAGGAAGGAGTGTGGCGGAAGCGGGGAGATATGCCTGGAACTGAGGTGGGCTTTGGAAGGTCCATGTGAGAATGAGACAGGCAGCTCTGCAGGATTCCTTCCTGATGTTCCTTGCCCTCTGAAAGATCAATGTTAGGCAATGGGGCAATCTACGTACCCAAACCACTACCAACTCTTTGCCATCCTGGCTATCAGAAAACACTGGTAGAAGGCCAGCCACATTCGCTGGGCTGTGTATGCAGAATCTCAAGTGCCACAAGGTAGCAGTCACATTTCACAAAGATGGAACTCAGAGAGGTTAGGCGATTGGCCTGAAGGCTTGATTCCCATCCCAGACAAAGCCTGAATCAAACACCCTCTAGAATCCATCTCTTTTGTGCCGTACTACTTCAGCTTCCTTACTGGCAGCACGCTTTTTAAATTAAAATTGGAAACTTTGCAAGGACATAAATATGCAGAGAAAAAAAGAAGGAAAAGCACTATTAGAAATGTCTGGGCATGGTGGTACACACCTTTAACCCAACATTCAGGGGCAGAGGCAGGCAGATCTTTGTGAGTTTGAGGCCAATCTGGTCTACAGAGCTAGTTCCAAGACAGCCAGGACTGTTAAACAGAGAAACCCTGTCTCAAAACAAAGGAAGGGAGGGAGGAAGGGAGGGAGGAAGGGTGGGAGGAAGGGAGGGAGGGAGGGAGGGAGGGAGGGAGGGAGGGAGGGAGGGAGGGAGGGAGGGAAGGAAGGAAAAAAGAAAAGAAACCTCAGCTAAGAATGACACTTTATCAGGGCTTTGAAGCCCAGTCAGATGATTGCTAGCTTTTCGTGTGCAGGGGCTTTAACAATCTAAGACATGAAGGCAGAGACGCGATCACACAAGCCCACTGCAGAAAGGAAGTCTAGAAGCCTCGCTATGTGGAGTTTTAGTTTTAGCATGTCTTGGAAGGTTTGTTTTAATAGAAGACTCTTGAGACGCGATTCAGATTAAAATGGAGATTGGTAAACACAAGAGTCTCATCTTCCCAATCTATGCAATTTGACATTCTCCTGTCCGGGTTTTGATTTATCCCATTTCAGCGCATCCTTAGCATTTAACTGCTGGAGTTGTTTGTCAAGAGGATGTGGTCATATTTTAATATCTAAGGGAAACACATGCTGCTTTAATGTCATAACTCATGAAACAGCCCAGGAGATTTTTTTCTCGAGAAAGCAATATGTACATATGCACACAATCTCCGTGGCCAGGTTGATTTGTGCAAGTATAGCCCCGCTGAGTGGAGATGGCACATCTTCGCTTCTGCTGTGTGGTGGCTCTGCTTCCTGAGGCCCTAGTGGAATGATGGGGACTCCCGACAGTCAGTGTTAGTGCACAGATTTCAGAGATCAAGTGAGTACACTCACAACAAGGAGGGCATTTGGCTGGAGCACCTGACATTTCTCAGCAGCTCCAGTATGATAATGGGCTAGCCCAACAGTGAATAAGCTAATCAAGCCATTAAAGGCAACAGAAGCCCTCTGCCCTGTTTGATTTCTTCCTATAATGATATAAAGTGCAAGTTTAATGAAGTCAATGGGTCCTGAACCTCTCAGCGTGTCCAGGCCTTTGGAGGCAGCAGTATTGAGTCTGTTCATGGTATTCATTATCCAGTTACTGCTGTCCACCCTGGCCAGTGGACCCTGCTTGCAAACGACATTGTAACTGGGACTTTATGGGGGCAGTTCTGGTTGCTATGGCCCCGCCTGCATTTTGTCTACATAAATTAGACCTTGTGTAGCATATTGGCCTGTCAGGGGACTAGGAGGAAGCTGTATATTGTTTCTGGCATCCCTGAGCCCTTCTGCCCCTGACATCTGCTGTGCCTGTGACAGGGAATACATTCTTGACTCATTATCCGAGCAAGTGGAATCCCACCCTGACAGGACCATTAATCAGAATCAAGCAGTCCAGAGAGAGAGAGAGAGAGAGAGAGAGAGAGAGAGAGAGAGAGAGAGAGAGAGAGAGAGAGAGAGAGAGAGAGAGAGGGAGAGAGAGAGAGAGAACATGCAAAGAAGTGAGGCACTTTCTAACTTTGGCTTTTGGTGTCATTCATGGTCTGGACAACTAACAATCCATCTTTCTGAGTGACAGCCCTGATGGATGGCATTATTTGTGCTTTTGTGTATTAAAAGACAGCTCTGGCACCGGCTTGTCATTTTCCCAGAGGTTTACAAAAAGTTGAAATTTAATTTGGAAGGAAAGGAGGGCAGAGATCAGAGGAGGCTGGTGAGCTGACAGTCCCCGGAGACAAGAGAGGGACCAATGGCATATGAGTGAGAGGGTCTACGGGGTTGAGGGTGGATGCTGCACTCTGGGAAGGTGTGGGGGGCAGCTGCTGCTGTTTCTCATGTGCGTGGCTACATTAGGGATGCTTGAGGCTTCCATATTAAATTAAGTATGTGTTGATCACTGTATTGAGATGGGTTGTTGAAGAAGAGATGAAAATTAAAAATGTGTTGGAGTGTTTAGGACCAAGATGCTACACGGGTGTGAAGGAACAATAAGTGGTTATTTCCATGACCAGAGCATTGCCTGAAATTGCAATTTTGTAAGTGTAACTGGCGGTGCTGTTGCCTAGTACATGTCAAGTATTAAACAACAAGTGAAGGTAACATTTCTTCACATTGATTAAACTGTTGCTATGGGCTTGTGAACGTGTGTGGCATGACCAAGAGTATTAGGTAAGAAAGAGATGGGAATACATAGCAAACATTTCTCGTGCTCTGTCCCTCCGACCTAGAGTAGGACACAGGAGGGAGAGGGATAAAGTAAACAACTAAGATACAGCAGCAATGCACATTTATAACCTTTATTCATAACTCTACGCTTTTGAATGAACTTACACTTCTACAGACATCTGCTTCCGGGCCCAACAGCCAAAATGCATCATTTGCTTTAAATTAATAACACAGAGAAAAAGAAACCCTTCTTACCCTTGCTTTGCTCTCTTCTATCCTGGCCGTGCTGATGTAATCACACCTTCTCCCCAAGGGTGTGCCCTCCTTGAGCACCCTGGGCTGCTGGAGCACTGTGCCATTCCCTGGCAAGACAGCAGAGCCAAGGCCCTCTCTTGCTCATCAGCTATGGAGGGGATCTAGCCTGCTGCTCATGTGGACATCAAGCCCAATATGCATTCCTATTCCTTTCTGGGACTCTCCCCCTTTCTTGGAAAGGGTATATTGAATTTTACTTAGCAGTCTGTTTTTCTGCAGCCCCATAGGTAGTATTAGCTCTAGATCACGACCTTGGAAGATGGTAAGGAGGCAAGATGAACATTAATCAAACCCAAGAATCCGCATGTGGCATGGCACCAGACTGCAATTATCCAATAGCATACTCTATTCTAAGTCAGGGTGAGATTAGTCTTAAAGAGAGCTGCTAGACTAGGATAACCAAGCATTTATGATGGCGTCACATTCTCCTCACCAGAATGCATCCAATGTCTAGATAATCAACAGTGACCAGGAAGTAGCCAAGTTACGAGGTTGATGCCAGCTGCCAAGTGAAGCAGAATAAGTGTGACAAAGAATTCTCTTGGAGGCGCTGGTGGGTTTTCTTGGCTGGAGTTTAGACCTCCTAAGCTACCCCATCTACTCGCTTTGTTGTCAGCACTGGGCTTTAATGTCAGCTCCATTTCTTGTAGCTTTTCAAGTGTCGGTGTTCTTATCAATTAAAAAAGGATAGTTATAATTACTCATTCGAGTTGTGAAGATTAAATGTGATGACATATGTAAATTACATCATGAAAATTCTGGCACATAGAGATACTCAAAGAACATCTCAACCTTATAGGATCCACGGCTTTAAAAAAAATCCCTGCTAGGGTTTTTCAAAAATATCATTAGTTCTCTGTGCCTACCCAAGAAATAAGACCTTTGAAAAGATCCTTGATCTTTCATTTATCTGCCTAGAGTATCATGTGGCGTTATAGACCACATCTCAGTTTAAGACTAGAAGATCAAGTATTGGAAGAACTGAGAAAAAGGAAGGTCCTTCAGGAAGATATGAAAACCAAAGACACAGTGGAGGCTTTTCCTCCATCAGAAAGCCTCTACTCTTATTATTCATTAGGTCAAACAAGGGGGGAGGGCATGAGATAGGACAGAGTGGCTGAGAATGGGGCATGGTTTTCTGTCTCCTGCAGGAGATTGAAAGCCAGCCCTTCTCTCTAGGACAGCAAATGCTGTAGGGGTGCCCTGCAGATGTTTAGGTGTGACTGTCCCAGGCACCTCAGTTTCCTCCTAACTGGAGGTGATCATATCTCCTTCAGAGGGCCATCAGATTCCAGATCTCACATGGAAGGTGCCTAATCCAGAATGGTGCCTGGAGAGCAGGACGTCTACTGTTAGTGGCATAATCTGGTGCTTGGGAAACATGTTTGCACAAATGGATGCAACACTGACTGGGTGGGGGTTGGCGGATCTACCCAAATGTCCTGTAAGAAAATCCTGGTTCAGGTTGGATTTACTCTCCCATACTTTCTCTGCATCAGGGTGTTCTCATTTGAGTGTACTGAGAGTTTCAGTCACTCTGAACAAAGATTTTCAAAGAAAGAGGAAAGTGCTGGTTTGAGAGGGGGAAATAGTGGACATAAAGTAGAACAGATAATAGTGAACATAAGTAGAGCAGATAATAGTAAGATTTGCATAGCACTGCTTTACAAGAAAAGGGAACAGAGACA